AAGCTAACAATTTAGTCTCGCTGTACTGTAGTTTACTGTTTTCACAGACCAGTAGTTTGATGTTACTGGTTGACCCATCTGAAATAAATATAGTTAAAGTAGTAATATTCTTACAATGCTAAAATATAGAATGCAATACGTCAGAGTGGCACCAGTCTAAGGTTCGCAAATTGGAGGATAAATCTGAATGAAATTAGACTACGTCCTAGCAAAAGTTGGATATGAAATTATTGAAATTGTAAAATTATTACAAATTACGACCTAATCAAACCTAAATAGCTTTGAACAACTTTTTCGCTTGCTAATTTGAGTGTTGACTAAATTTCCTCAGACTTACAAGCTACTATAAGTTAAAGTGGGTTGATATAGTTGGTCATGTGAATAAGTTGGCCACTAAGCAACCAAGAGTATAAAATTACATTAAAAGTAAAGAGCAACTTTACATTTTGATTGTGTAATTTGTGGCGTGACCCTAAACGCTCTGTCTTCCTCCTGCAGCTCTCCCACTGAATTCGTAACGCAGGGAAAGTGGTCACGATGTCCGGAAGTCTGGATGTCCTTCAGATGAAGGAGGAGGATGTGCTGAAGTTCCTGGCTGCAGGAACCCACCTGGGAGGCATGAACCTCGACTTCCAGATGGAGCAGTACGTCTACAAGAGGAAAAGCGACGGTATGCGCTAGAAACGATCAGCCACGTGATGACGAAATGGTTAGCATTACCTCAAACACTGTCCAGATTGACAGTTTTGTTTCTTTTGCTCTCAGGTATTTATATCATTAACCTGAAGAAGACCTGGGAGAAGCTGCTGCTGGCGGCCAGGGCCATTGTTGCCATTGAGAACCCGGCGGATGTGTGCGTCATCTCCTCCAGGAACACTGGCCAGGTAAAAACGACAACAACAAAAAACACGTGAGATTAAGAGTGAATGCACACTGTTAAAGCCGGGCGCTGATGTGAGTGTTCTGGTGTCGGAAGTGTGCAAAAGTAAAGCGGATCGGGGGTTTCGCTAACGCCAGGAGGACGGCCGTCCGATGACTGGGGTTTGATAACACCCCGAGCCACAGCTCATCATGTAAATATACAAGATTAGAGATGAAATTTGATTATAAAGGCTGAAAAATAATGGGGGAAATGATGTATGGAAACATGAAAATCCAGTTATTATTTTTTATTTTTTGTGTTTGTATAGCATCAGTTATCTGCGATTAAATTAAAATCAAAGTTTTTGTATCAAATTCTTCAAAAATTTGTAACAAACATTACAAACACAAATGCGCGTTTCCTGAAGCGTTGTTGCGTTTCCTGTGCAGAGGGCTGTGCTGAAGTTCGCCTCGGCCACCGGAGCCACCACCTTCCATGGCCGCTTCACTCCCGGCACGTTCACCAATCAGATCCAGGCGGCCTTCAGGGAGCCCCGCCTCCTGATTGTGACGGACCCTCGTGCTGACCACCAGCCGCTGACCGAAGCGTCCTACGTCAACATCCCCACCATCGCCCTGTGCAACACCGACTCCCCACTGAGATACGTGGACATCGCCATCCCCTGCAACAACAAGGTGAGGGGCGGAGCTCAGAGAAGTGTCATTGTGTACACTTCAGAAATTTTACACACGGGCACAATGCTGCTGTTCTGTTTTCATGACGTCATGTTGCAGAGCGTGTCTGCAGGCTGTATGATGTTTTAATCACTTTCTGCATTTCAGGGTCACCACTCTGTGGGTCTGATGTGGTGGATGTTGGCCAGGGAGGTTCTGCGGATGAGGGGAACCATCTCCAGGGAACACCCGTGGGAGGTCATGCCTGATCTGTACTTCTACAGAGACCCTGAGGAGGTAGGAGGAGCGCAGCGCCTCACTACGATCACTTAGCTGTCTGGATGTTGCGGAGCTAAGCTGCGTTCTGATTTGAAACTCGTTTCAGATCGAGAAGGAGGAGCAGGCCGCAGCCGAGAAGGCGGTGGTGAAGGAGGAGTTCCAGGGCGAATGGACCGCCCCGCAGGCTGAGTTCGCCCAGCCTGAGGTGACCGACTGGTCCGAGGGCGTCGCCGTTCCCTCTGTGCCCATCCAGCAGTTCCCTGCAGGTAGCCTGCTTTTAAAACGAGTTCTGATCAGGCCTTCAAACAACTTCTGTTTTATTATTCAATGATCCTGACCATCAGATAAAAAAAAACAATCTGTACATTTTGTAGATTTTTCATTTATAAGCGGTTTTCAGACCGTATTAGAAATAACTTTATAGATACAAATAAGCAATTCAATAACTTTTTAGAAATATTTTTTCAGAATAACTTGTAGCATCGGCAGCTAAAAGAACCCTAACATGTGAAAAGCTCGTCTTCTTCTGCCTGATCAACACAGTGTAGGGCTGATCTGGTGATTCATTTTTACATTTACTAATTAATAATTGGATAGGATCTGTATACTCCAGTGGACAATCACTAAAATGAGTTTACGATTATTTCAGTAGTCGATAAATCTCAATCAGTCGTTTCAGTCCTAGTTCTGATTCTTTGATTCTTCTTCTGTTGTCTAAAACTGGTTGTGTCGTTACAGCTGCTGCTCCCGTCAAGACCGGAGAGACCTACACTGGTGAGTTCAGAGCTTCTCCTTTACCTGCGGGTCAGTGGTTCCTGCTGCTCACTGACCTCTGTTTGACCTCTGTCTTCCAGCTGCCGAAGACTGGAGCACCCAGCCCGCCACAGACGACTGGTCCACCGCTCCCACCGCTCAGGCTTCTGACTGGGGCGGCACCACCTCCGACTGGTCTTAAACCAGCAAACACAGCAACAATAAAAGTGTTACACTTTGACTCGCATGTTTTTGTTTTTTGTTCTCTAAAACCTGCTAAATTCAAGTTTCCCATCATTTCAGATGGATAAATGAAGCTTTTTACTAGAGAGGTTGTTGGAAATGATGAGTATGATGTCATCTGACAAAATTTAAAAAAACAGAGCACTTCCTGGTTTTGACAGTTTGATGTTGACCAGATTTCTCACTGTATTTAATCTTTTTTGGCACCCAAATATCATTTCAGGGCACAAATAGTAAAACTTAATTTAAGAAACTTTCAAGATAATCAAAATGCTTCAACAAACACAAAACAAATTTAAATGAAAGCAGGTTTAAAAATAATTTTTTTTTTTACTATCCTTTAAGTGAGCTACTGAGTCTATAGTCAATAATTGATCAAACTTTAAACACGTATTCTGAACTTCGCAGCCAAACCCAGTTTATCCCTGTTAAAGTAATCTGAAGAAGCTCAGGTGTTTGCATAAAGACATGAAGTTGGTAGAATTTGTGCTGATCTGGACTTGGCAGTAAAACCTGGAGTGTAAATCAGTTACCCAACATTCAGCCGGGTCAGCTGAATGTTCCATCCAGGTAGCCATAGTTTGAAAAAAGTGCAAATTACTCCTGGCAGATAAACTGAATTCCTTGTGTTGGTGAATGTCTAGTAATCTACAAACTGAGACCCTTGGTGATTGAACATTGTACCCAGAATATTGTACCACTGAAGTAGCAACAAAGTATAATCTATTATTGAAGAGCAAAAAAAGTTAGCTCATGTAGTAAAAAGGTTTGGACAGCTCTAGTGTAAACTAGGTGCTGTTCCAGGTCTACCAAATTCCACCAGACATCTATTTAATCTTCACAGCATATTCAGACTGAGCATAGCATTCAGTGGAAAAAAAAATATAGTGGAATAATTATACATTTCATTTTCTTTTCATTAATAAAATAGATTATGCCATCCATAATTTTTTACACATGTACTTAAACATATCCTTTTAATTTCAGTGACTTAGTGATACATTTAGGAACTAATGATTTATTTATGAAATGACACTGTGATTAGTCAGATAGTAGGATCAGAGACAGCTTAAATTAATTTGCGAACAATAAGTGTATTTTTTTTAAACATTTATTCTGTGTGTAATAATTTATGGAGGACCAAAACCGACATAGTAAGAAATAAAAGAATAAATATACAAATAAAAGAATAAATATATATCTGACATATATAAATAAAAGAAGAAATATATATTTAGTTTTTCCTTTTCCTTACACAAGTTTCCGTAAAGAAAAATAGATATTTTGCTTTGCCTTTTTTGCTTCTCCACTTTCTGCTTGCTGTTTCTCCATTTGCTGTTTTGTTTGTTGTTTTTCTGCTGCATCGTTATGTTAATGAGGTGAGCTCCCTTCTATGTCTACTATTGGCCAATAGAGCTTTGGAACCAACGTCACTGCCTCAGACATTGTGAGGCGTTTAGGTGCAGTCGCTCGGTGCCATCTTTGCAGGCCACACACCAAAACAAACTTCATCCTGGTGGTTTTATTGTGTTAACGACTGGAGTGAAGTGAACCTCCGAGCAGTTAGGAGGGAGCTAGAGAATAGCTGGCCGAAAATAGCATTCATAAATCGGATGAACCTTGAGCTAAACGGAAAATCCAATATCCAACTCGAAACTAACTTCACTTCAGTCAGTAACACAACAAAACCACCGGGATAAAGTTTGTTTTGGTGTGTGGCCTGCAAAGATGGCACCGAGCGACTGCACCTAAACGCCCACAACGTCTGACGCAGTGACGTTGGTTCCAAAGCTCTATTGGCCAATAGTAGACATAGAAGGCAGCTCTCCTCATTAACATAACAGTGCAGCAAAAAAGGCAAAGCAAAATATCTATTTTTCTTGACGGAAACTCATGTGTAAGGAAAAGCAAAAACTAAATATATATTTATGCTTTTATTTCTTATCAAAATATATATTTCTCGGTTTTGGTCCTCCATAATAATTTTGATGTTTTAAAAATATTTTATACAATAATTATACACACAAGTAAGTAATAGCTTTATTGGACAGTAACCTTTTGACCCGCTATATCACTGGTGCATCTGCCAATAACTTCTGTGTGAAGGGCCGAAACAGTCCTGTGTGTTTGTGTAAAACAATTATTATCGTTGAGCGTTTTGGTATCTGAGCACATATTTATTTAATTTTACAGTTAATACTTATATGCAGCTCATACAAAACTAGAGAAGTATATTTCATCATTATTGGCACAATGTTATCCCAGACGGAGCTCCTCCATGCAGCCCCCGGAAGGCTCCCAAACATCGCGCCTGCTCAGAACAATCATCTCCGCCACATTCGCGCTTATCTGTCAGGTGGGCGTGTTCCGGTGCTGCCATTGGCCAATGGCGGTTCCCCTTCCTCTTTCTTTTCATACGCCCTGCCTCTGAATAATGATAATAACGACCAAGATGGCTACTTCAAAATCTTCTCTGTTGTAGCTAAACACCAGTTCCATGGAAATACTCCAAATTGCGATTTCTTTATGTTTAAGACCCTCGTAGGCGGCGGGGCAGAGCCACGGACAATACTACATGGATTACAGCGAGTTGAGAGGCGAATAAAGTCGCTGTGTTGCCCCGGAGCACTCATTCCGAATAAGCTAACTAGCTAGCAGCGCTCGTCGAGACTCCCCGGTTGAGCTCTCCCAGCAGCTGCCGCTCTCCCCCTCCTCCCCACCTCCCCGGTTGACGAGCCCGCCGGAGCGCAGAGCGCCAAATGGCAGAGCCGAGGAAAGTGCCGTTCGTCACCATCTCCTCCTTCAGCGCTCCGCCGCCGCCGCAGCAGCAGCAGACCCCGGAGTCCAACAAGAAGCGCCGCCGCGAGGACGAGGCCGCCGACATCACTTTGGGGAAAGATGGAGGTGGAGGTGCAGCTGCGGTCGGGTCGGGAGGTTCCGGAGGAGCTCTGTTCGGCAACGCCAAAGGAGGAAGCGACACCGACGGCAGGGAGACGAAGCCCACCGTCCGCCTCAGCCTGACGCTGAGCGAGCCGAACGAGAGGGGCTCCTCCGAGTTCAACTACGGCGAGCTGGTCCAGTCAACTCCTTCTCAGGTTAGACACCAACAAACATGACTCCATGATGGCAACAGGGACAGTTTTACAGTGAAGCTTCCTTCTGCTGTACTCTACTCCGCTGTTGTTTTAAATACTATTTATCTGCTTAATCGGGCGGAAAACGTCAAACAACTGTATTTATGCCGGGTAATAAGTTTCATGAAAGCAACAAAAAACAAAAAAAACATTCATATATTCACAGAAGCGCACAAAAACAAAGCACGGTGAGATTGAGCAGTTTGAAGAAACTTCACTTTGAGTCTTTTAAAGTAGCTTTACATTATTAGTCCCTTTGTTTACGCAGAAGAAAAATCTGACTTTTTTTTTCTTTAAAAGCCTCCAGAGACATGTGCTGCATGTTTGGAGGTAAATTTACAGGAGGTGCTCAGACCGGGATGGCCCCTCTTGTGGCCGCTGTCATGTTGAAATGTACAGCTTGTTTACTGGGGGGGTTTCTGATAACATGTCGGCCCCTCCTGCACTTCTAACGAGGAATAATAACAGCGTTATTATTCATCAGCTCTCCAAAATGTTGCTTTTTATCATGATTATGCTGTTGAATCAATGATAATTTCTATGAGCTTTTATTTGGATTTTTAACATATTTCCACAACTACAAAATATACATTTTGAGATTTTAGAGCGTGACGATGTAGTGCATTACTGTGAATTGAAAAGGAGAACATTACATTTTAATATCAGACTAAATTACCCCAAACAGTTGCCTTCAGAAGTCGCCTAGCATCTCAAAATGGAGAAAGCTGTGGAAACGAGTCACAATGTGTTGGCAGCATCATGCTATGGGGGTTCTTTTCTAAAGCGAGGACAGGAATCCAGTTAGTGTTGTTTTTTTTGTTTGTTTTTTTTTACAATATGGATGGAAGAAAACCAGTTTTAGGTTTAAAAAGAGTCTAGACTGGCGGTCCAGCAGGTTCAGGAAGGTGACCTCACATAAAGCATATAAATAATCGGTTCTTTAAAGTACGTCTATTTATATTCTGCTTCTATATTAAAAACTTGAAATTAGAAGTCATATTAAAGCTTTGTGAGTGAAGTTCAGTTCAATGAAATAAAACTTCATCAATCCCAAACAGAAATGAGATGTCGTATCTCATGTCGTTGTGGATGGGGACCCCGTCTCCAGCAGCAGACAGTTTTGCAGTGAGTCTGAAAAAGCCTCTGACTGAAGACTGCTGCACAACGGTTTCGTGACCGCCAGGTGTTATTTTTGCTTTTGAGATGCTGACCAGTTGTAAAAAACAAGGCATTGTTGCCATAGTTACGCATCATTCCTTTTATTAAAAAAAAAAAAAAAAAAGGAAGAGCAAAATCTTTGCAGCTGCACAACATCCAGAACCAGGTCCAAACAGAGCAAAAGCAAACAAAATAATGAAAGGAAAGTCTGGAAAAAGAACCAATCAGATTCTAGCGTAGCAGAGCTCCATGCTGCATTCATAGTTTCAGTGTGTTTTCCTGATACCCAGGAGCCACATTTAGTCAAAACTGAGAAGGATCCAAGTGTTTCAAATCTTATGAGATCTGCAAATATTTATTTTTTAAAATCTTTTTAGATTTATAATGTTTTTAAAAACCAAACTGAAAGCTCGGCTGTCTTCCTCTCCGTCAGGTAAAGCCTGCAGGTCCCACAGTTCCTAAAGGCCTCGCCCCTCCGCTGGATCCCAGCGACCCGTTTGCTGATGATGAGAAGGAGAGAAGGGAGGTGGAGGAGCTGGCCAGGAAGTTTGAGAGCAAATATGTAAGCAGATTCACTTGTGTGTGTGTGTGTGTGTGTGTGTGTGTGTGTGTGTGTGTGTGTGTGTGTGTGTGTGTGCGCGCGTGGACATAAATTAGGACTGAACCAGTGAACGCTACATTGAGATGAATTAGTTTAATTGGTCGAACACATTAAGTTTAAGTAAAACAAACTTAATTAAGTAAATGCAAAGTTTGATCAGTTGATTACTTTTTGCTTTCTGTGTCCTCAGATAATGAATGTCAGTAAAGGAAGGCTTATTGTTCTGATGTTATTCATCAAATTTCATAAAAAAAAAACAAAAACATTTCTCTATTTAAGTTGAACTGTTCCAATAAACCAGAAGTGACTCCTTTCTCTTCTAATATGATTTCATGCTTGTTTTATTTTTCTCTTGCTCCTCATTTCTTTTTCTTTCCTTATTTTCATTCCTTCTTTGTTTCATTCCCCATCTTTTTTCTTTTTTTCTCAGTTTCCTCATTTCTTTTCTCTATAATCCGTGAAGGTTTTTCGAGAAGTTTTCAATTAATATGGAGAAGAAAAAGAGCAAA